TATCTTTTATAACTTTCCTCGTCATTCCTTGATTACGCAGAATGTATGGTTCACCCAATGAATCACTGGCAGTGTGTTAATTCGATCTCTTTGAGCCATCCTTGTCGCAAAAGTGTTCTAATGTGCTGCAATTCTCGCCAAATATCTAACATCGCACGGTGTCTCTTGACTAATTGGATCGGCCAGAGAGTGCAAGGCGTGAAACGTTCGCAGTTTAGTAAGTCAGAGGCTGCAAATTAAAATATTTCTCACATAAGCACACAACTTTATGGTGCAATTTTCTAAAAACAATGCCGCTCAGCACAGATGTGTGTTGTGTGTTGGTGAAGAAAGTGGTTTTGTATGGGAGAAAGAGAGAAAGAAAAAAGAGAAAATCTTTTGATGTTTTCGGGTGCGAAAAAATTCCACACACACACACACAAAACACAAGAAAAAAATGATGGGATGTTTTCTGTCTTATGCAGAAGCCCTCTTCCGGTTCGCGGGGCGCAATGTCAATTGACGGTCACGGAGAGGGTAAAAAAAAGAGGCACAATTTATGAATTGACGATGTTCTATTTTTTGCGGCGATCGCGCGAGTTGCGCAATTTGGCCAAAAATTGTGTGCGACAATGATCTTGCCGGAAATGTTAGCGCGCGTGGATTGTGTGTGTACATAGCAAATTGTGAGACACACCTCCAGAAATTCCCAACTTGTAATTGCCATGTACAAAAGATAAGATTTGGTGTGAAAAAGACTAATTGCGCGTGCTTTTTTTCTGCCTGGCATGACATAAATGCTTCTCGCGAATTTCACTGTGACTCTTGGAATTTGAGCTTTTCCTATCTGAAAAAATACAGAAATTGTGTGAGTTGGGTGACAAATGGGTGAGAGAGATAAGAAAAAATGTGGTGAAGAGAATTTGCGTATGGCACATGACATTTTTTCCCGCTACTCATGCTGACTTTAAGGCTAAATAAAACACTTATTTTTAGAGAGGCACTCAAACTGTCGCGATGCTGAGATCAGCAGTGGAGTGAGAGAGAGAGAGAGAGAAGGACGTGATAAGTGAATGCGTAGGTTCACTTATGGGTAAGCTGGGCGACGCTGCCAACTCGAAATGAGACAGACTCGATTTGTAGCGAAGCTAAGATGATATTGGATATAAAGAATGAAGGTTGGATACAAAGAAGCAATCGCTAGAGATAAAAAATAGGTGGATTTCAATCGCCACAAAGTAGGCAATTCTATAGATTCGTGAGCGGGAGCAGCATAAGTAGAGGGAGCATAATGTAATCACTTAGACAAAATTTAAACCTCTATATCTCTGGTTCTATGGCATTGACCAAAGAGAATAAGCATATTTTAGAAACGTCTCAATCTGGACTATCAAAATATCTAAAAACTTCATTCAAAATATTTTGACTTTGGACAATATTTTGGACTTAAGAATTATACAGATATAAAGCGCGGATCAATATGTAATCATTGAACCCCCATATCTTCCCTCCTATGATTTCAATCTTCATGATTGGGGGTTCGTTGGAAAGGTCTCGACCTCAGCTATAACATACTTGATTTAAAAGAAAATTGATAATCTAGTTTTTGTGTTATTTGATTTCGAAATTTCAAAAAAAGGTTTTTTTGACTTTAGCGCCTCTAGCGGTTGTCAAACCAAGTTATGCTGTTTAGATGGGAGATGGCATTTTATGAGATCTATCTAACGAGCTTTCAATCATTCAAATCGGATAATTCGAACCGGAGTTATAGCCATGTTTAGTTTTGAAACTTTGTACCCTAGTATCTAGGGTTCGGAAGGACCTAGGTCCTTGGGTAGCAATTCGTTGGAAAGGTCTTGATGCCATCTATAACATACTAGAATTTGGGCCCAATCCATGCCATAGGGGCTGAGCAAATGAACGAAACGTTTTTTGGTTGTATTCAAGATGGCGGAAGGAGGGGTGGAGGGTTAAATTTGACATCACCAAGTTCTAGCGGCAGTAGAATTTTTGACCTTTGGTGAAAACCGCATGTTGATATCTCTCCTTATCGACAGATTTCGTCATAATTAGCCTCCCTGATGTCGTTTTAGTCGATTTTGCGACATTTGATATTTTGCGCGATTGCAGATAGAGCCGGGCTATGCCCAGCTCAAAGAGAGGCAGAAAAGCCATTTGGGTTGTTAACTCGTTGCGTAAGTTCTCTAATCAGCAAACATACTCGCAATCCACCAGATAAACGCGCTCTTTTTTACATTAAAACCTCCAATCGATCCTTCATAATGGGTCGCATATCTTAATTATCTGCATGATTAGAGCGCGCTATGTTGCCTAAAGTTCATGTGATGCTATTTTAGAAGAGCGAGAGAAAGAGAGAATGAATTTTTGTATTTGGAATTAAAACAGAGTTGAATTATAAAGCAACAGAGCGGACAAGGTCGTTGCTGAAGCTCACGTTTTCTCGGTACAATCACAGAAAACTACACGAATACAAAGGCGGAAACTTACCTTGTCCGCAGTTTAGTTTCCTCTCCATATTGTGGGGAGTCCAAGTGCTCCTAAAGTAGAGTTGAAATGTCTGTAGATGAGACACAGAGTGGCGAAAGGCGATAGTTGTTGGCAGAATAAATGAGTGATCTTGTCCAATAAACATTCTAATTTGGCAAATTAGCATTTTGATTAATGTAAATGGGCGAAAAATTCACTCAATCGAACTGGAAATATCAAGAAGATGTGGTTATTTAATTAATTCACCACAAATGAATTGTAGTCCAGATAAAAAATGAATGTCAAAGTCTCATGAAATATATTACACACACGAGACTTGCCCGATGATGGAAGAATGAGAATCAAGAATAAGAAGGAAATAATTTAGTTAGAAGGGGAAAAAGCATCAAAAATTCCTTCTTGTACTGCCAAGTTATTCCGATTCTTTGGATTTCACTAATAAATAATCCTTTTCTAGGTTATGTGACGAATCAAGGAGAGATTTAGTGAATAATTCGCATTCTAGCGCATCAATTCTTACGCTCAAATCAAAGATTTTGATAGTCATTGGCAGAATTAAGCATTTACTTGCAAAAAACTCAATCTAATCGTGTTCAGGTCGAACATAACCTCAAAAATAATAATTTAAGGAACTTTCTTAACACTTGTCTGACTCTTAATTATCAGTTTTCAGTGCGTTGGCAAATCAAAAGAGTCGATTTGGTGTTCTAGAAAGCCTCCAAACGGAGTCTTTGAAGATCTTTTAGTGATATTTTTCACATTTTTGAGGTTATGGTCGGAAAAGATGTCCAAAAACAGCTGTTTTAAGTTGATTCTTATGAAATCAATAAGAAGATCGAATGGACACTGAAGAAATTCATTATAATTTGGAAATTAATGTGCAAACAGACTTCAAATTTCAAGTTCAATTCAAGACAGATTATCTCCCCCTTGTGAAGAACTGAAATAATATGGATTTTCAATGAAAATCCTGCAAGTGAAGAGATTCACTTAATTTTCATGCGATTGCTTTCGGAGCATTTTACGCATTTACGCCTTCAATTACCAATCATCAACCGGAGGACGTGCAATTGTAGATGTTTCTCTAGTTGGAGTGACATATAAGATAAATGCTGATGATTGGGTCAATAGTGACAAATTCATTGTTTGTGCGCATCATATATGATTTCCCACATTGCGTACGAGAGCAAGTTTGACTTTGAAGGAATCTCTCCTCGTCACGGGAAATGTTGTGTGAAGATGTGAGAGATTCGCTAGCAATGAGTCTTTGGTTGATGAGCACAAATATGATCAAAAATAGCCAAAGGAGGCGCGTCACGACGGATTTATCGGTGCACCAATCGCGCAGCGTTGTCGTTTGAGATTGTGGCAAAAATAGGAGTTCATCGCGAAGATCGTCACTGACGCTGAAATTACGTCATGCGACCCTGGAAGCGCGAGAAGACTCGCAAAGGAGTCAATCGATGGAAATTGATGGTGGCGAATTGGCACGTCGTCGAATCGATTTCCCTCCATTGATCCGGGCGGCGTTGGACACAATCGGCCACAGAATTGCGTTCTCCCAGCCAAGGGGGAGATAATACAGTCAGAAGTGGTGTACAGCTCAGCAGAAGTACTTAAGAAGTGGAAGTGTTCAAAAACTCACAACATTCCCTTCGTGAGTGCTTATTTTACTGGCAAATTATGCAAATTCTTTGGATTTTCTTCGATTTTCACGCAGAATAAATAATTAAACTCTCTTTTTAGGTTATGTAACGAATTAAGGACAGATTTAGTGAATAATTCGTATTCTAGAACATCAATTCTTACGCTCAAGTCGGAGAAATCACTATTTTCTGCACCTTTGACGCCAAGAAACGCAAGAAACACTGTAAAATGTATTGAATTCGGACATAACCTCAAAAATAGTCATTTGAACTTGGAAAATGTTCATTTAGAAGACTTTTTGGACAATTTTAACTCTGAATCAGCAGTTTTGACTTCATTGCTGATCATAATCAGATCATTTTGTGATCTAGAATGCTTTGAAATCGAGTTTTTGTAATATTTTGAGGTTATGTGCATTTTTAAGTCTATTATTGCAGAAATATCGGATGGAAACTTCATGTTTTAGAAGTGTCTGGTATAGTTTTGAAGTGTTTGGAAGTGGTGTACAGATTGAGGGCGTATTTTCGCCCCCTTGGAGATCAGCAATTGAGGAGCGCGTGTGGGAGCGCAGTGGCGAGTGGCCAAGAATTGTGAGCCACTGTCACGCGCGCCGTCCATTCAATGTGGGGAATGAAGACTTTATTCTATTACAACACACTATATTAATCCCTCTCCTGACCATGTGACGATGGGGAGTTGCATGTGGAGCAACGATCATCGGACTATTTTCACGTCTAGGCCACACATTCGATTGTGATTTATCATCAAAGCGCGCCCCACGAGGAAGTCCATCTTCCGCCCAGAATTCTTATCAATCCTCCTGTGGCATTTCCTCATCGGCTTCTCTTCCTGCCTCTCTCTTTCAGATGCCTGTCTGCGCTGCCAGGCGGAGAGCAAGAAGGACGCCCTGGGCAGGCAAGACTGCGTGGTCGTGTGGGGCGACTGCAACCACTCATTCCACCACTGCTGCATGGCGCTGTGGGTGAAGCAGAACAATCGCTGTCCGCTGTGCCAGCAAGAGTGGTCCATTCAGCGGATGGGCAAGTGAACTGCCCGCGCAGGAAGAAGATCATGATCTCTGAGGTATTAAAAAGGATGTTGGAAAGAGGAAAAAAAATGTGGTTTTTGTGGGGAAAACAGGGCAGAAGAGGGCAAAAGAAGTGCCCCGGGTGAGGATCGAACTCACGACCTTAAGATTATGAGACTTACGCGCTACCTACTGCGCTACCGAGGCGTTGACGGCTCTTGACTGAAGTTCCTCACTTCCTCTCTACACTGTTAGCAATCAGAGATAAGAGTGTCTCATCGGGATTTAGATTATCAACCTCAAACGGATTGATAAGATTTGTGGAAAGTCACTTACGAAGCTTAGGAAAATGTGTGAATCTCACTTTCAGTTCAGGTAATAAATTTCCTCCGCCACTGGTTTTCAGCGTTGTCAGCGCGGATTGTCAGCAAATCAGCTGTTAGTCAAGGGGAAGATAGTATGCCTGAAATCTGTACATCACATCCAGACACTTCTAAACGTATTTCAAGTCATTTTTTTTTACACTTCTTCAACTGTTTCCTACACAAATTTCTGATTTATCATAAATCTAATCCAGGTTTTTCCGTCTCAAGAAGTTTAAGCTCTTCAAATGCTTAGATTTTGAATTGTAAAAATTTATTTTACTGTTCTTGAATCGTTCATGGCAAATTTTAGTGTTGATTTTCTAGTTTTATGTTTTAGAAAATGTAAGAATAAAATTTTGAACAAATTGTGAGGTTAAGAATGTGACATAAAAATCTTCACCTAATTTTAACCTTTTTTCACTAGAAAATTAGTGAATATGGCGAAGAACACAATGTTTCTACAAGATAATAACATTTAATTTACCAATTTTAAGCAAAAACAGACAATTTTCTAGACATTAATACCATTTTTGAGGTTATGTTTGACTTTTAAGCTTTTTCGTATCTAATATGAAGTTATTTTAAGCAGAAAATGCTCAACTTTGCCAAGAAAAAGAGAAATAATCACAGATTAAACACAGTTTTCATGATTTAGAGGATTTTTTAATCACCTGAATCTGTCTTTTATCAATCACATAACCTAGAAAAAGCAATATAAATGATTTTTCTAAACAGAATTACTAAGAAAATGCTTGAATTTGTTGAAGTAGAAGATTTTTCAGTGCAATTATTCGATATATTTTACCACTTTCAATTCCTTAAACACTTCCGTGAAGTTGTACACCACTTCCAGTCTAATATCTGCCCCTTGCTGTTAGTGATGACAGGACGGAGTAAACAGAAGCGCTGGCGGAAGATTCTCTACGAAAACCAGGGATTCGAGGACAATTACACGCCCAAGACGTTCCTGCGTGAGCTGCAGAAGAATCGGAATGTGCGTGAGTTCACGTTTTGCGAGGCTGTTTGCGGCGCGACGAAGCTTAGCCAGCAAATCTCTGTGGTTGTGGCCTTCCTGATCATCTACCACGGGCTGTTTACGCACTGGCTCACTCCGGAGACTGTCCTGCTGCACTCCAGCGTGGCCACAGTGGCCGGCTACGCTCTGTTCCTGGTCACAATTGAGGAGGGCGTCGTGGAAGCGCTCGTGCGGCACTCGAAGACAGTTCTGGGCGTGCTGGTGTTTGGGTTTATCTTCTCGCCACTCCTGCACACGCTCACGAAGAGCATCAGCACAGACACCATCTACTCGGTGACTTTCTTCGTCTTCTGCCTGCACCTGATCTTCTTCGACTACGGCCTGGAGGCGCACATGGTTTCCCGCGCAATCTCACTCAACGCAGCGATCTTCGGCTCCATCTGCTTGTCCTCCAGACTCGCCACGTCCTTCCACGCCTTCGTGCTGCTGGCCACGGTGGTGGAGCTGTTCGTGTTGCTGCCCATCCTGCAGAGGCGTCTGTGGTCGCCACCAATCGTCCTGCCCACGCTCGTCGGCTGCGCTCTCCTGCTGCACTCCATCTCGCTGCCCACGCTCGTCACGTACGCGCTGGGCCTGCTGGCCATCAACATCCTCTTCCCGTGGCTCTTCACGCGCGCGCAGCCCCACAAGCACATCATCCACGGACCCTGGGACGAGGCGGTGGTGGAATCTGTGGACTTCTAAACACTCTTCGGTCTCTCTTCATCCTTTATTGTACCATCAAAGATCATCATCATCAGCGCTTAGTCAATAAAACTCGAGATAAAACTCTAGAGACTGAACAGCGTCCGTCACAAATCCCTTCCGGAAACCCAGAGAGAGGAAGTTTGTGCGGTGAAATGCCGTGAGTTTGACCACAAAAACAACCTTCGCGCTCTTAAATACATTTTTTCTATTATTTTATTTGCCATCTTGAATGATTCATTTTACATTTCCTCTAAATTCAAATGAAAAACTAAAGTGATTAATAAATCATTAAGAATCAAAGTTGCTTTGAAATACCAAAATTCACTTTCCTGAGATTTGTTCTCATTTTCACGCGTTCCTCCCAAATTCACGGCACTTCACGCGATCCTTCCCTTTGAGAATCCAAACACTACGCGGATTTCTTTTAACGTCTATAAAAGTTTTTTTCTTGTTATTTCTATTACAAAAAAAGAAACTCTCTCGTCAAGTTGATTAAATGCACAAGAAAAATCATCTCGAGAGTTTCTTGAAGAATACTTCTTTAGCGCGCGCGCGCTTCAAACTAAAAAATATTTGAATTATTCTGCAACAAGGGGGAGATAATACAGACAGAAGTGGTGTACAGCTCAGCAGAAGTACTTAAGGAGTGGAAGTGTTGAAAAACCTTCAATATTCCTTTCATAATCATCAAAATTGTCTGAATTTCCTTCGATTTTCACGCAGAAACAAACGTAAAAATCTTTTTTCTAGGTTATGTAACGAATTAAGGACAGATTTAGTGAATATTTCGCATTCTAGCACATCAAATCTGCCAGTTCTTAGCAGAATTGAGCATTTGTAAGCAATTTACAGTGATTTTTTTATCCTTTGATGCCACGAAACACTCCAAAATTGTGCTAAGATTGAACATAACCTCAAAAATTGTCATTTACACTTAGAAAAGGTTCATTTAGACAACTTTCTCGACAATTTTGACTGTGAATCATCAATTTTAAGATCATTGGCAAATATAGAAAGCCTCCAAACGGAGTTCTTTAAGATGTTTTAGTGATATTTTGAGGTTATGATCAGTAAAGATGTCCAAAAACAGCGCTTTCAAGTCTATTTTTAAAGAAATATCAAATGAAACCTCAAGAGATTCACTATAATTTGGGAATTTATGTGGAAACCGGCTATAAATTTCATGTTTTAGAAGTGTCAGACAAATTTGAGAGTGTTTGAAAGTGGTGTACAGTTTCAAGGCATATTATCTACCCCTTGATTTGCAACAATTCTGACTGCACGGAGAACACTTATTGGATTGCGCAAAAAGGGATTCCTTTAAAACACAAGGAGATCTAGGAAATTAAGGGTGTAAAACTTCAAAAGGGATCATTTCGGAAGAGAATTTTTTTTTTACATTTTTACACACTTTTTGCCTATAGATTTTTCTTTTTTTTATAATTCTCCTAAATATACATTATATTCTCATTAGTATTTCATTTTGCCGTTCACGTTAAAAGTTTCTGTGCTAAACACACCAAATATTTCCTTTAAATATTTTCTCCTAAAATCTTTTTTTTTTGCACGCGAGGAAAAGTGAATCTCTTTTCACGCGTGCACACAAATTGTGAGTCTTCTCTAGGGATTGTTTCATCATTTTCCTCTAAAAGTCAATCATCAAGGTAAATTCTACTATAGTAGGATACTGTCGCTCCTTCTTCTCTCTCTCTCTCTAGCAATCCGCCCGTCGTCCTACACTTGGCAGTGTGTAGAGTTTGATTCGTGTGTGTTTGTCCCCAGGATGGGCGCGCGCTCAATAATGGGGCGCTGCAGCGTGATGCATGGCGCCCAGGGCGATATTTCTACTAATTACACATCGACCGTCACAGCCACATGGTGAAGAAAAAGGTCTAACTTTGCTACTATCGAGGGTGGTTGCTGGAAAGTGTCGCTGGGTTGTTGGTCAGACGGACGTCTTGGGGCTCTTCTCGGGCGTCGCGCCGCTCCGCACCGGCGCCGTTGTGCTGAGATTGCCCTCGGGAAAGTCCAGCAGCGAGCCAGTCTCCACGTCATTCCGCGCATTGGCGCTGCGCTGCCGACAGAGAAACGGCGACGGCGACGGCGATGGCAATTGCGTCTGGAAGGAGAAGAGAATTGCGTGAGTGACTTAAAGCGACTTAACAGCTGGTATTCTCGAATGGTTTAATCCGACTGTTATGTTATTTGTTAGCTGTGTTTTAATTGGATAGTTTGCGGACATTTCGAAGGATAATTGTCCAGTATATTTACCTATTTATCTTCTTTAACGCTAAAGAATCACCGCAAAGCACAATTCTTTGCTATTTATTGCCGAAAGGGCAGAATTTGTTAATATTTATTGGCATTTTTGCCTGGAATTAAGAAGATTTCTCTCATGGATTGACGAAATCTTTTACATGAAAGATTCTTTTACCGCCGAAAATGTCAAAAACTAAGTTTCTCCACTGAAACAGCTTCTCTCACAGTCATTACATTTCGAGAAAACCAGCCCATCTTAAGTTTAGCAGATAAAAGGGGTTGCTAATGTGGGTTTTGAGTGCCTCAACATCTTGCATTTCAACTGTTAAATTTCCAAATTGATTCATTTCGTCGTTAAAAATATTTCTTGATTCTAAAAGGATGTAAATCATTGGAAAAGGCTTTTCTGTGACCTTTTTTTCCTAATAAACCACCAAGAAATATTCTTTTCTCAATTAATTTCAATTAAACCTGAGCGGAAAATTTTTATTTCCCTCAAAACATTTCTTAATTTTCGCATTTGTGATTAAAATCCGCGCTAAATAATTTTTTTCCCTCTTGAATTGATCCATTTTCCTATAGAATCCTTCCTAGCATTCTCTTTAACGCTTTAATGTCCTTCCTTGGGACTCTTTTTAAAGCCCAAAATGACATTTTTCATCTTGTTTTCAACTATACTCGCGTGGGAAGCCAATAATATCACATTTTCGCGTCCTTTTTCTTCCTTTTTCTACACATTTGCACACTTTTTGACTTCCTGGTGTGATCCTAATTAAGAAAAAGATGAATTTGAGCGCTAAAATAAAGCTTTTCAGCTTTCTAAGTTGATCAAGTTTGAAATACTAAAATTTCTTATATTAAAGTTCAAATTAAAGAACAGAAAAGCCCGAAATATGTTGAATATTAACCAAGGAAAGACTTTTTAAATCAAAATTCAACATTAAAACTCTCTTTTTTCACATGAAAAACATTCTAAGCTGAATGAATTGACACTTAATTCAACTCTTAATTATAGTTTTTGCGAATATCGACGAATTTTGTGAATATTTCTAATTGCATCCCCGACATTAGCAACCCTTTGGAAGGGAAATGAGCAATACTTTGTTGTTATTCTGGCAGCACGTCGCTCGCACGCATCCTTCGTCCGTTGTGGGACAATCCAGGGCGCAGCAGTCCTGCGAACCGCTGCCGTTGAGATCACTGGAGATGCCATCGGACGCCGCCAGGCTGTTCAGCGCCTCAATCTCCACAAATTCCGGCTGAATGGTGGTGGAATGAATGCCCTCATTGTGGAAGAACTCCTTCACCTTCTCCGCAATCTTCATGTATTCGGACAAATTGCGACAGCGAATGTGCGCCGAGGCGATTATCCTGTCGCCGGCCAATTGCCACACGTGAAACTCATGCACGGCCAGGACGCCGTCCACTTTCTCCAGCAGACGCTTCTGAATGGCATCGACTTGGATGTGCGTCGGCACAGTTTGCAGCAAGATCAGCGCAGATTCGCGCAGCAGCGGCCAAACGGAGTGCAGAATGAGGATCACAAGGACAATTGACAGCGCCGGATCCATGTAGAACTTGTACTTCCACTCCGTCAGCCAGACGACCTGCAGTGAAAAAGATGAACTTGATCAGCAGACAGTCTGGAATTTCAGCGCACAAAAGTGAGTCACGCATGCAAAATTTATTTCTGGCCGAAGAGAAGAAACAATATTTGAGAAATCACACATTGCAGAGTTGCTCAAGACACAGATAAGCGATGAATTCAAGAAACTGTCGATAAGATGCAATTGCCATTAGTCATTTGCTTCTCTTTTATCTTCGTGTGCAATAAAATAAATTCCAGATTTTTATCACAAGCGCACAAAGACTGGAAACAAAACCTGAAGATTGATAAATATTGACCATAGATTGATGGATTTCTTGCAATTTGATACTTAATATTGGCTTTTCTTCCTGTTCTGGGAAGAAATTCAATACTTTTCTCAATCAACGATAAGTTTATTCAGATTGAGTTGAAAATATTGCTGAGAAATTGGCCAAAATTACTCTAAAAGCGCTAATTTTGCCTTAAAATAGTTATTTTGTGAATAATTTAATTGATTTTATTTGTATTTCTTGGAATTCTTGACTAAAATATGGCAAAATTAAGCAGAAACACTTAAAAAACTAAAATTATTACTTTCCAAAGTAAATTTTTAACAGTCTTTGAGTATATTTTATTCAAAAACGTTCTAAAAAATCAACTTTTCGTACTTTAGATTGACTTTTTTCAAGAGCAAGATTGGTAAATTTGCTGAATTTTACCTCAAAGTCTTTTTCTAATTGTACAATAAAGTGTCAATATTGCTCTAAATGATTATATTGTGAATTTTTCAGATGATTTCATTCGTTATTCATTAAAATTTTAACTGAAATATTGCAATTTAATGGATGAACTGAAAATATTACTTTTCGAATGTTATTTTTTAATAGATTTTGAGAATATTTTATCTAAATAAACTCTAAAAAGTCAATTTTCTACATTTTACAATAATTTTTCTTGGCAGTTTGCAAGTGAAAAAATGCAAATATATGAGAAATAATTATTCAAAGTCTAAGAACATTTTAGGATATTTATGAATATTTAAAATTATCTTCCAAAAAGACGTTTTATGAGTTTGACTGCAATTTGAGACAATTTTCTCAGAAAAATTGTATGGATTAAACGATAAAAAGTAGATTTTTCCATAATTTACTTCGCAAAACATGGAATCTTGAAATTTTTAATAAGCAATAAAACAGATAAAAAGCTTTTCAAAAATCCATAAGACAAAAACTATGATAAATCGACTTTTCACAGTTAATATGACAATTATTATATTCTTGCAAAGTCTAAGAATATTCAAAGAAAATTCTCAAACAGACATTTTATGGGTTTGACTGCAATTTGAGAGAATTTTCTTAGTAAAAATAAACCGCGAAAGCGATGAATAATTGACTTTTCACAGTTTTCAATTCACTCATAAAAATAATGCTGCTGAAAAGTATTTTTCAACATTAATCTTCATTAGGAAACTGATGCAAAAGATCCCCAAAAATCCTGTGCAGAGCAAAGGATTATTGAAGTAAATTATACTTAATTTCTGTGCGTGATAATATTATTTTGCTTGCCACTGTAGATAATGTAAGTAAAGTGCTAATAGAATATCAAATGAGGATCTTATTATTATGATAAAATACAAGATTGTACAACATTGTGTATTTCTCATCTGAATTCACAGAAAATACTATTTTCTTTCTCTCTGTTTCTCTTTGTAAAACAGACGCATTTCTTCATCTTCGCAACCGAAAAATGCGCATTAATCTTCCACTTACAAATTCCTCATTGACTTCACAGGTAAACAATTGTGAGTGACATTGTGAATGCGAATCATGCTGAATTACTCGACTGACTTTGTATGTGGAATTAATACTTGAGCGACACGTGCTTAAAATTACACTCATGACGCGCTGAATTCTACACAAATCTCACAATCTATTTGGATATTTCAAACGATGCGCGATCAACTCTGCTTTTGGCCAGCAAAAATAAATCTACACCTTGAACTCATCTTGCGTCGGCAAAAACACTACACAATTTCAATGTCTCTCATATTGGACAGCAAAGAGAGAGAGAGAAAAAAGGTGATTCAATGCTAAAATTCCTCCTCCAAACCAACAACAACACTCTCCATTCAAACATGCGGCGCGACGGACGCGACCTTTAGTCGTGAAGATATTTCGACGGGTGAATCGAAAACTTTGAAAAGCCAAAAACGCATTTTTTTTCTGCAAAAAGGTTTCAAAATTGCTGTGAAATTTGCCAAATTTACTTCAAAACCCTCAAAATGCTTTCAAATCATCCGTTAATGTGCAAATATTTCTCTGTATTTTTTATTTTGTAAATATTTCAGTTGATTTTATTGGTATTTATTGAAATTTTTGACTAAAATATGACAAAATTAATGGAAAATCTGAAAATATTACTTTTCAAAGTGGATTTTATCAAAATTAGTTTTAAAAAATCAACTTTTCATTCTTTACTTGAACTTTTCTTTAATGTTTTTAAGTGAAAAAAATTTAAAAGATATGAGAAATATTCATTCAAAGTCTAAAAAACATTTTAGGATTATTCTGAAAATCTATAATTATTTTTTTAAAAGGCATTTTATGCATTTGACAGCAATTTTTGAGATATTTTTCTTACTATTATCTTATAAGATATGAATTTCAAAACTTTCATTCAGGAAGAACAAATAAAAAGCTGTTCAAAAATTAAAAAATAAGACGAAAACAAACCAATTTGTCTATCAAATCTCCGTATTTTAGTTGATATTTCAACAAATAACAGTGGAAAAACCTGGGAAATATTGAATTAAAATAAAGTAGAGCAATATTATCAATTTACCAAAAGGTAATGAGGAGTTTATGGGAAAATTTCAAAGCAATATCAATTCTCAAACTTCAAATGGCAAATTTTGACTTTTGACAGTCTTCGAGGCACCCGTCGATGTGGCGCTTTGTCTTAAACTCACCAATGCACTAATTACAACAATGACACTGCCAAGAGCGTCACTGAGAACGTGCAGGAAAGCTCCTCGCATGTTCATCTGCGATGGATCGTGACTGTGACCGGCGCTCTTCTTCAATTGCTGCGCCGATGGATTCTGCTGATACACGAATGAATTGTTCTCGTTATCATCCGTATTTGTTAAGCGTGTCAACTTATTTCGAGATCGCGATAGTGAGTGAGAATGTCCGTGGCCTCCGTGTTCTGTCAATTGAAGTGCAAAACAATTATCAAATATATCGCCCATTTGCGTCCATCTCAAGCACATTCAGCGTCTTTTCTTTACCATAGAGCAGAAAGAGTCCCACGACGTTGACTAGCAGTCCCACACATCCGACAATTACCAATAGTTTTGGCTCGTGAATCCGTTCCTCCTCGATGAATCTGCGCGACAAGAATTTCACAGTGAATTTTGGATGCTTTCCCAATTTTTGTGGCAATTTCACTCCCTTCTCACCTCTTGCACGCCTCAATGGTGATGCTGAAGCACAACGCCACGAGGAAGACAGCATTCACGAGCGCCCCAAGAACCTCAGCTCTCGCCCAGCCAAAAGTATTCTTCGACCACTTCTTTGGTGACATCTGCAAAAGCAATCAAAGCCACGCATGTCGATTGAAATCAATTCCAATATACGCAATTTCCTCATCCTCACCTTTATCGACAAGAATGATATCACGAGTGCCGCAATATCGCCCAACATGTGAAAACTATCGGCCACCAGAGCCATTGAGTTCGTCACGTAACCCACGACAATTTCCACAAAGAAGAAGAACGCCGTGAGCCACATCATCGTCAACAGACGACACTTCTTTCCGGAAAACTTTCCCATCTCTTCTTCTCTTCTATTCTCGCTGGACACTCGCAGAAGCCAAACTGTTTGTCAGTCGTTCCTGTGAAAGTGAAGAGAGAGAAAAACGATCAATTATGGGTCGTTGCAACATTAAAGATTTCGTATTTCAATTCGTAAAAGATATCAAATTAGTGTTGCCGCTATTAAGATGAGAATTTATGTAATACGAATTTCAATTGTGAATAATTCATTCGGATTTTCAATTAGTTTCTCTATAGAAAATGACAGACGAAGTCTGAAAATACATAACCTCAATTTGGTGCCTTGAAATGTGCACAAATGACCAAGAAAATCCAATAAATCCTTGCTAATCAACCTAAAAGACATCATTTCAGTCTATTTCGTCAGTTTTCACATGAATTTCCCGGCTTTTCTTGTCTTCACGCAACGAATAACATGAATTTACTTCAAGCGCCAATCTTTGGAATATTTAAGAGGCCCAATTATGCATCAAATTGAAGTTCCAAATACACTAGGAGGTCGGCTTTATGTAACAAACTCCTCCTGCCGCCCCAACTCTCGATACGACTGACTACCTCGCGCGCTTCTCCGCGTCACCCTCAGTGCTGCCTCTACCGTCAAATAATGCTAACAGCGAGAATCGTATATCAGGAGGAAGAAGGCCGCCTAGACAGTGGCATTCCCGCCACAAGCTCTCCAGGGATACCAATTGGGCAGGGCTTGGTGTTTTGCCGGTTGAACTAAATATACTTCCATCCACATTGAATATCGATGTGGATTTTCGTTCAAGAGATCTACATTATCTTCATGTGCAGCGGCGAAATTTTGACATAACCTCATTCTCCGCGTTAAAAGGGTAAACAAACAGTGAGAAATTGAGCAAACTGCGTCTAGGAAGACCAGAAAACTATGTTTCCACGTTAAGAAAGTCAAAGTTCTCATTCCGTGGAACAAGAAGGGACGGAAAACCACATTTAGCAATATTCTAAGTCACATTTGAGGTCTATTTCACTCTCATAGCTTCTCCTGACTGGATCATGTGATCGCATGTATTGAGGAGAAGATCTTTCATGAGAATGCCTTCATAATATCAACTACACGAAGTGTTCTCAAGTCTCGCAGAAGATAAATTCCTCACATTAGTAAATAATATGAATCGTAATCTTGCAACACCTTTTTACGAATTAATATTATTGACAGCTCATTTACAATGCGTTATAAAAGTAAAGTTGCAACGACGCCTTAGTCAACACAAAATATTCAGCAATTGAACACGTGCGTGCGGAAGAAATTTATCTTCACCACAAGAAAGATTAAGAATGACTTCCCTGATATTTCATTAAGCAACAGTGTTTAGGTGAAAAATCTCGCAATTCTCTATCTCACATTCTCAGTCCATTATGTACATTTATAATCAATATCGGAGTACTTTGAGTTGATATTGTTTCCCCACTTGAGATAATCATATTTCACGTTCACCATAAATTGCTTGCTTTTTGCCATGGTCGTTGATAAACGTAGACAAAAAGGAACGACTGCGATAGAGATTTTTATGGCTAGTCTACGAAAATTTCATACATTGTATGAAACTGTCTTCATTGGATTCGTTTTCAGACACTGTCTTTTGAATTATGCAGCAATTCCGTAATGAAAGGATTTAGTCCAAATTATGTATCTCACTTTTATGCATTTAAGAATTTGTATGAATATGAATTTGCTGCAAGTGGAAATATTTCACTCTCTAAACACAAATTGCATATAAAGAAGTCTGGATTCGTATCAGGAAGCGAAATATTTCTCAATGATAAAGAGTTTATTATTCTCACATCAATTTATGAACTTCAAACAGAGCATTTTGGTGAAATTTATTGCTATAAAGAGAGATTTAGTGAGACTAGTTTTTAGCAAATTGTTGTTTTTTGATTTTTCCAATGAATTAATTTCAATATTAAAATAATTTTTTATTTTCTTATTTTCACAACTAATGTAAAAACATAAAATTTAGGAAGGAAAAACAATTCTGCAGGCTTGTTTCCCAAAATGTAAGCTTCTTATCACACTTGCTCCTTTTTGTTTTGAACTTATCGACAGTTTTCGACACTTATCGATACGACTAACGTGCAATTTCCTGTTTTTAACACACTTTTAGGGGGAAAAATAGGACTGATATGAACTAATCAGTTCTTAGACTCTCTGAGTTGAACTGTTTTCCATAATTTTGTTATTAAAACTTAGTTAAAATTCATTGTCGATAACTGATTTGTCGATAACTTCAAACCAAAAGGGAAACAAAGTGGGAAAAATGACGCTAATAAACTGGTTCAATCAGAAGGTCAGCTTATTAAAAGCAGAATTGCTCTGCCAATTTGCAAAATGCATTTTCGAAGAACCAAACAAAATCAACAGACTGGAAATTGAAAACAAACTATTTGAGAAATTGGATATTAATTGTTCGAGTTTCTGAGATTATTTTACATAAAAGTGGAGCAAAGTCAAGATAACATTTTTTCTCTCTCTATTTTAGGATCTCAATTATTGCCATTGTTCAAAAAAAAATTACTAAATAAACCCAAGATAAAACTGTCTGTGTGAATTTTCTTATCTTACCGAAAGAAAAAATCTCACTTTTGTCAAAGAGACTTTTGCTGTTTTATTTACGCAACCAAAGCAAAGAAGAATGAAACACGAACTGAACTTTGATTGAACATTTGAATTGGTTTGAGGGCGAAAATATGTGGGCAATTTACATGAGAACATCGTGAAAATGCACTCAATTCGGCTAATAGATAAACAATTTTAGCGTAGCAACGCGGCAAACCATGGATTTCCCCCCTCCCCGGACAAAGAAAGCCACAAAGGAAGTGTTTTCGCGAGTTCTTTGCTCCCCAATCGCGCCGATGGGGAAGAGCTTCCTGGGCGATGCCCAAAGCACAGAGTCGCATGTCACTTGATGATGATGGGATTGCTTGGGCAGCGGCAACTTTGGGGAATTGGAATTTGAATGCGGTCAAGATGAAGATTAATTGTTGACTGACCCAATTATTGGGCCAATCATGCACGGAATATTGAATTGTTTGGCGCGCGGCGGCCGAGGAAAAAGCGTGACTGGGCGATAAACAAAGCAAATATGACATGTGTCACATTACGTCACGTCTCCAATTCGCTTCTCTGATTGGAAGATCTTTTTTTTCTCCCCTTTAAGCGCGCCGAATAGGATCCCAAAGATTCGATTCCGATTCTGCAGAATTCGTTCTTTGTGAAGGAACTTTCCACCGACGTGGCAACTTTTGCAAGAATTTCTCGGGAATTATGACTCACGCGAGGGTTGATTTTCTTTCTCGTTGTCTCAACAGCCAAACCGTGATCTTGAAGATCTTCTTATTGATGAATGAAAGCCATCAATTGTGTTCCACTCACGAAAATGTGTTTGTGAGGCAATTGTTGTTCAATTTGCCTGAATTTATAATACAACCGCCACTGATATATTCTGCGGTTGGTTCTCGGCTGTCCTCCTGATATATTTCTCGCTGACGCAAGTTTACTATTCATGTGAAAAGAGATAAAATTGAGTGCGAAGTCACACAAACGAGAAGAGAACCTCTTCTTTTGGTACCGCGTGCAATGGCACTAAAACCCCAGAACGAAATAATGGCCAGGATATCAAATGCTAGCCTTTTCCCAGACTCCTTCTCTCCGTGGGGAATTTCCACGCACTTTTCCGCGCGCGCGGTGTTGGGGAGGCAACAAGGAAAAAGAAAAAGGGAGGAAGGGCAGCCAAAGCACTTACAGTAACGCAACTATTGTGAGTGTTGGAAGTTTGCTGAGATGCGCCAAAACTCATCTCCTCACGACATGCTCAGCGCCATCATTCTTCACACTCAACAGCCCTTTGTCTCTCCACTCACTGTGTCGCCGAGTAACTGTCCGCAAATCACCTTTTTCCACTCGCGAATCACTTTGATTTTCCGTCGTACAAAAAAAATCTATTTGGAAATCTGACAGCTCATCATTTGGCGCGTGGCGAACAGCGGAATCTCGTGCGAAATGGCGCTGTCGGCGCTCGAGAAAATCTCCTATAATTCAAAAGTGCGCGCCGAACTTCAACCCTTCCACGGAAGCATTAAACCAGGGGATTTACGGTATTTTTGTACAATTAGACCTTCAAATCCTGTTGGAATCGCTAAAATAAACAACTAGAGAATATTGACTATCTTTTGAATGCGATAAATAAGCCCAAAGAGTTGAAATTGATATCAAAATTTCGATTTGAATAACATTGACGCAAGATTTTCTTCCTGATCAGGAAAAACAGGAAAATGGAGATATTCCATGGAGAAAATCCATGGAATATCCAATGGATAACCATGGAAGATTTCCATGCTCCGCGTAATAGCATCCATGGAGAATTCCTCAGAACTTCGTGGATCAACAAGGAAAATCCTTGGAATTCAGCATGGAAGATTCCATGCTGAGTTTTTATGAATTAATTCCGAAATAGATAGAATGAATATCTCCGTCTTGGAGCGGCTGTGGCTCAGTGGTCAATGCGTTTGACTCTCGATGCTACAGTCGTGGGTTCGAATCCCACCGCTTGCAAATGTTCGAACACAGCAGAGTGCAAAAAATAAGCCTTTCAATGGCAAATTAGAGCAGCCAAAATGAGTTGCTGTTGAATGTTCCAGCTGAAACCATACGCTTCACTGGAATTGTCTAGCACTCTGTCTCTGTGTATATAAAGGGGTGGACGTTAGAACCACTTATGATTGGTCGGCAAACTGACAAACTGCCACCGTAAAACAAACACTTGTCTAGATATCTTCTTTAATGGAAAAGGCTTATGTCCCACAATGGGATGTCAAAGCCACGTTATTTCTCTGTCTTCCTCAATAATTTCCTCTTCCTGCACCTGCTGCGTGGCGTCCAGCACGAAGTCCTGGCCAGCTACCTCGGCCGCTTCTGCTGTGCGGCCTTCTTCTCCTTCGCCACCTTTGAATTTCTGTATGAATCTTTGAGGTGGCGAAATTGTTCGGAGAGCTCCGTAGATCCGTTTGGCCTCAGGCCTGAAAGGAATTATGAAAAAAAATCTGATTTCAAAATTTTGACATGAAAATCTCTGCCACTGAACTTGATGTCTGGTCTGAGAAAACAGGGACCGCTAGAATCCAAAGCTCTGCAGCAATAAAGTCGGTTTTCAATAGCAATAATTGAAAATGCTATTTAAAAGTAGAGACTCGGCTTTGTTCCAGAGAAAGACGCATTTTACGCAGAGAAATTAAAGATTCTTGTGTTTAAAACAAGGTTTAAAAGCATTTAGTGGCAATAAATAAATATTTTTGGGTGTTTTTTTTGTTCTATCATACTTAAAACCATGAAAAACTGGGAAGAATTTCTCAAACAATATCGTTTAGTGAAATCGATTGATATATCAAGGAATCGAGTCACTAATTTGAACGTCTTGGAAATCCTCGCTTTCACATTAAACATCATGAAAATCACGAATAAGATAATTTATTTTACTCATATTATTAATATTAGAACAATCCGAAGTACCACAAACTATTTATCTTACAATATCATCTAAATGAGCGCTTCATCATCCACAATCTCTTCACTTCTTAGACACTTTACGAGCGCATCTTGAGAATGATGGCATTTGCCAGGGCGATGATGCGGTGAATGTTGGTCAGAGTGTGTGCCCGCCACATCTTGCAGCGCCCCCACACGATGGCCGGGAAGTTGGGACTGGAGATGCCGTGGAAGATTCTGGCCAGAGATCTTCCCGTGAAGCTGCAGTCCGGATAGTTGGCCACCATGTAGCGAATGTCTCGCTCGAGCTGATCATCTGTGGTGTCGTCTGGCTCCTCAGTCACCTCGATCTTGCCCACTTGAGTCCTCTCGAAGTACTGTCGAATGATGGTCTTCAGCTCGTCAGAGGATTTCGTCGTGTTCTCGTCGAGAATCGTGGTCAGAGTGGCGGAAGAAACTGACGAGAGGCCCTGAAAGATGCTCTGCAGCTGATAAATCTCCAGATTCTCCTGCTGCGCCACCCGATTGATGAGCATCTCGAGGATGTTGTCCATTTGTTCGTCCGTGAAATCTCCCGGAGCGCGAATGCGGAATCCGATGTCGTCAAATTGTACCGAAATCGAAGTCCTCCTGGATCGATTATTGCTTCTCATCCACTCGAGGTTCTTCAGCTGATACTTCACCACGCCACTGTCCCATCCCAGCGCCGCCGCCACGTCCACAGTGGAGAACTCTAAGCTTGTGGCGTCAGATCGAAGCTTTCCCTCCTTGATCTTCATCGAGATGGCCATGGCGAGAGGTGGACAGGACTTGGCGGCTCTCCGGAGCTGCTCTGCTCCGCCATAGGAGAAAATCTTGCACTTCACATAAGCCTTGCTCAGCACCTCAATCGATTCCACTTGTTGCTCAAGATAGCAGAGAAGCGTCGAGATGTTCTCCTCAGGAACATCTAATTCCTGCACCGTGGCATCCACTGAGAAGGCGATCTCGTGTCCTGGACAGCTGCCTGTTGTCTTGCAGGCGCACGGACAGAAGATCTTCCGCAAGAAGCGTCGCAGAGTGAAGCGATCAATTGAGTTGGCATAAATGAATCTCTGCAATTCTATCTTGTCACGTCGTCTGGCGTCCAGGAACAGATGACAACGCGCCTCAGCGCCATCGCGTCCCGCTCTCCCGATTTCCTGCACGTAACTCTCAAAGTTCTTTGGCATATTGAAGTGAATCACTGCCCGGATATCCGCCTTGTTGATGCCCATGCCGAAGGCAATTGTCGCCACGACAATCTTCAGTTCGCCACTCATGAAGGCATTCTGAATGCTGCGCCTTCTGGACGCCACCAGACCCGCGTGATAACTCTCCACGACCCAATTCACGCGCTTCCTCTTCCTCCCTGACGCCTGATCGCCACCAGTCGTCGTCCGGATGTGCTTCGCCACGCGATCACACTCTTCCCGGCGTGTGCAGTAGATGATGACCGAATTGCCGGCGAGTGTGGGACTCTCGAGGAGCTTCATAAGGGCATTCTCGCGATTGGAGTCTGCGGAGACGGTCAGGATGAGATTCTGCGGCAAAGGCACATCACTAATCACACCACGAAGACCATCAGGAACACCAATTTGCTGGACAATTCCATCTCTGGTCAAATTCGTGGCAGTTGCTGTCAATCCCAGGATCACAGACACTTTCAGCTTCTCCTTCAGGATCTGCAAAGTAAGTCAAGACATTGAGAATTAGAGATCAAAGCCTGGAATTATGCTTAAACAGCTCACCTTGCAGAGCATAAGATAGCTTGGGCGGAAGTTGTGGCTCCACTGAGATAAGCAGTGAGCCTCGTCGATGCAGACAAAGGCAATCCTGGGCAAGGAGCTCAGGATCTGTCCGAATTCCGACTTCTTGTCACCATAAGCGACTGCTTCTGGCGATACCAAAAGCAAATCCACGCGTCCTTCCCTCAATTCATGCTTCACGAGTTGCCTCATCTTCTCCGTCTGATTCGTGTGAAGACATCGAGCATTCAGGAAGCTGGGAATGCCACTAATCTGATCCTCCATGAGAGACACAAGTGGGGAAATCACCAGAGTCATGCCCTTCTTGTGGCGACTGTACAGAAGAGCAGGAAGTTGATAGCAGAGCGATTTCCCGCTGCCTGTGTTGAGTGTCACGAGAGTGGACAATCCGGAGAGGATTCTCATGATGGCTCTCTCCTGGCCAGCTCTGAAGGACGCATGGCCGAAGAGATTGAGAGCCTCAGTGACTTCCTGAGGCGTTTCCATCAGCTCTCCATCATCAGTCAAGGAATACAGAGCTTCCTGACTGTCGTCCTCCTGGAGAGACTGCTCAAGCTCCTTCGCAATCTCACCAATTTCCGTGGAATCCAAGTAATTCCCCTGTTCCACAGCACTCTTGGCCGCATCTTCCAGTGTCTGAAGCTCAGATTCCGCCACAAACTCCTCGTCAGCTTCTTCAGTTGGCGGAAAGCTGGGGAAATTCTCCTTCCTGGGACACTTGGCAGCAAAATGTCCCGCCAATCCACACTCGAAGCACTTCAGCTCTTCCCCATCGCATCCCTTGTCATCCAGCAGCGCAGCGGCTTTCTTCTTCCTCCACAGCGTCTTCTTGTATCTCGAGTAGTTCAGTGTCTTCTTCCCGCGCACAAACACCTTCTTCTTCATGTTAATTCGCACGTAATTCTCATTTGCCTTTCCCGAAGACACTTTCTTCAGGAGTTTCTCCTCCTTCGAGGCTTTCGCTGCACTTTCACCAGCGCAATCTTTGCCATCCGGAAGATTCTGACTCAGATAAGAGTCGAAGAGTTTCTCACTCTCTGAGAGAAAGTCCTGATCCACTCGAGGAGCCTTCTTGGTCAGTTCTGTGTCCAGTGGAGGAACGTAATGCTCTGCAGTCGGTTTTATGGGATTCTTGTCTTTTATCTTCTCTTCAGGCGAATCATCGGAAAAATCTTCTCTGTAATTCACGTCATTTTTCCCACGAGTTCTCTTCGGGGCTTTCTTGGGAGATTTTACAGGCTCTTCAGTCTCCTCTTCACACTTCTTAGCCTCCTCCTGAGCCCGCAATCTGCTCTCCATCTCCCTCGCCTGGCGATTGTGAATGGAACTGAAGACTCTGCGCTTCTTCAGCACATGCCGGACAGATTGCTGACTCAGAATTGTCGCTTCATCTTCGCTGTCCTCCACTACAGATGCGTCAGAGTCTGCTTGCTTGGTAACTGCACTGGCAACTTTGCCAGAATTCTCACCGCACCGCTCAATCCATCCCGGATCGAATTTCTTCTCCGCACTCAGCGTTTTCTTATCACTTGCCGAAGTTGCGGCAATTTCGGGCAATTGAAAGGATCGCTGAGACAGCAGCGTCTCAAAGTCCGGGATGTCCAGCGAAGGAGCAGCGCGTGAGCCGTCGCTCTTGTCTGAGGCTGAGGAATTGAGGCGCTTGAAGGATTTCCTGGGATTCCTCTTTGAGAATGTCATTGAGGAACTCAACTTATTTGCCAGCGTCATTGAGGCTCTCTTCGGAGGCTCTTTCTTCGCCTTCGACGCGGTCTTTCGACACAGATGACTTCCCCAGGCCTTCTCGTTGGCCAGCACTTCGGGAGTGTCCAGTGCCGATGAGTCCATGCCATTTCCCGGCGAGTGAGCGTCACTGTTTGACAAACTGTTGGAGGAATCGTGCGGATCCGAGGGAAAGACTTCATCGTCGTCATCGAGAGCGTCCGTGAGTGTATTACTCAACAGGGAAGTCGTGATCTTGTAGTACATCTTGTAGGCATCCTTGATCTCCTTCCTGGCCTCTCGGATGTCGTGCTGGAAGCCCAGAAAACATTAGTAAACTTTTGGCTCCAAAACAAATGTCAATGACCTAACCTTTGATGGAATCCGCTTGTTTTTCTCCTTGAATTCCTTCTCCCATCGCTTCACCACCAATTTGTACTTGTTAAGCTTCTCCTGTATCTTCGCCTTTTCCATTACAATCACAATTTCTCTGGTTTTCACAGCTTTTCTCACAGAAATGGACAGAAATTGCTTCCTCTGCAAATCAACTCACTCAGCTGAACTTCAACTGCGTCTTCACCACCCAGATGGACAGTTGACGAATATGTAAACATCTCTCGATTGTTATTTGGAAAATGCCTTGAAAAGCTATAAACTGCATGATAAAGTAATCTTGAGTTTGCAAATATCTCAATTCCTGGCTTTCAATTCTCAAAAGCAGCCAAAAGACTTCCATAAGCAATATTATTCTGGTCTTTCCGTTCCCTTTCAAAATCCAGCGCGCGTGCAATGTTGGCTGCCGTGCGTGGTGAGTTTCTTCTCCACCTCAATACTCACCACATTGTCAGACGTGATGTCGTCGTTTGTGGGCGATTGTGTTTTTTCTGTGAAAAAATGAGTCGAAACTCGCCTGTTTTGCCGTGAAAATAGTGTGAAAAGCATCAAGGAAAGTCAAGGAATATCTTCCGCTTGCTCGGTGAGTGCTGATTCACAATCCCCGCGAGATATTGGCTCGCGAAGTGTGCGCTGTGAGACTATCCGGGAAGGCACACACAGAGGGCTTTTGGGGGGCTCTCCGCCTCCCCAGCATCAGCGTAAATAGTCAATCATCTAATTGTTGTTTACTCCTCTGCGTCTGGCCACGGCGGAGCAGCTGGGCGGGTGTGGGTGGCCTCTTTTTTGCGGGGCGAGTGATTCATAACGAGGTTAAAATCGATTTTTGCCCTCTTGCGCTCCGCCGCGACAGGACGGAATCTGGGCGGGAGGGCGACCCAGAGCAGGTTCTTCCGGAATTCTAATGGCAAAATTCTCGCTCATCTGGCATTCCGTCCAGCTGAGGAATTTGCATTCTTGGGCTGCTTTTCACACTTTGCGGGGGGCGCGCAACAACCCGTTCGTCATTCCTTGCCAAGATTAAGAAATGTGCAAACTTCTGGAAGGGGCTGAAAAAGAGGAGGAATTCCTTGACGCGGAAGGACGCACGGCGAGACTGAAGAGCGTCAAAAGCGCCGCTGGAAAATGATGGAAATGAGGTGATTGATCAGGTCTGCAATTGTAATTAAATTGTTGCACCGATGGATGAGCTCTGGCGCGTGTCTAATTGCTCGCGCTCTGCTCGCCTTTTTGCTTATCTCTCTGCTGCTCGTCTTGTGGTTCTTGGCCACACAGGCGAGGTGGTGGTGGTCAGGGTGGCCTCATCACCAATAAAATATCCATTTTCCTCCGCTCCGCAGACGCGCGCGGCGTGGCTCAGCGCGCCAGAAATCATGAAAATGCATTAAGCCGCGCGAGAACCCGAAAACTGCCTTGGCCATTGAGCGCGCCTCCAAAGTCCCATGAATTTGAGGAATCTGAGAATCTCTGGTGTGAACAGGGAACCGTTCGTTCGCCAGCGTCTCGCGGGAGATAAGCCTACAAGAGAGCGAGCAATAAAAGAAGGTCTAATATGACCCGTTCTCTCTTTTTGGCACGTCTTTTCCACACACAATTCTTCGTGTGGTGCTCTTGAAAATTAATTTAATTAATGGGAAGAGATCATTTATGGTATTTTTTGTGCTGAAACACCACAATTTCCCCCCCTTTGGGGGCCACTATTAATCACAATCTCGATGAGATGAGTTGGGAAAAGTGCCGCTCTAGACTTTCCAGGCGAGAATCGGCATTGCTGATCTCTTGATTTCTTACTATAAAACGTCAGCAAGACGTTTCCGCGAATTTGGAACTGATTTCCTTCTCTATCGGCAGAAAGAAAGAGCAGAGAGTGTTCTTTAAACGTTAATATCCCAGCCATCAAATTCAGCGATATGAATGAAATAAAGCCATTCAATGGTAATTAACCCTTATCTGGTTCTGAATGAAATCACACTAATGAATGCAATTTTTCTGGAAAATCAATTATCACCTGAAGAAGAACACCTTCATTCATTTCCCACTCATATAAATATAATAAACACCTTTTTTACATATTCGACGGGTGAATAGGAAAGTAAGAAAAGTCGATTTTTCATAGTTTATGAAGGAAATTGTTTCAAATTGCATTTATTTGCATTAAATGGTCTCTTTGATAAACATATTAATTCTAGATATTCAGAATCTTCCTTAAATATTGTAAAACTTTGAATTTTTATTTATATTTGTGATATTTTTTTAATTTTTCTACTCAAAAATTGTGAAAAAAAATTCTTGTAAAATATTAAAAGTTGATTTTTTTTAGAATTTATTGACTAAAATGTGCTCGAAGACTCATAAAAATCGACTTTGGAGAAAAAAACATTTTCTTTTTTCTATTAACTTTGCCATATTTTAGTAAAAAAAAATTCAATAAATACCAATAAAAGCAACTTTCTTTTACTTTTCTGGCCCTTAAACATCCCATTGAGGGACACAGCCTTCTCCATTAAAGAAGATATCTAGACAAGTGTTTGTTTTCCGGTGGAAGATTGTCAGCTTGCCGACCAATCATAAGTGGTTCTAACGTCCATCTTTATATATCCAGAGACAGAGCGCAAGACAATTCCAGTGAAGCGTATATTTCAGCTGAAACATTCAACAGCAACCGCTTGGGCTGCTCTAATTTGCCATTGAAAGGCTTATTTTCTGCACTCTTCTGTGTTCAAACATTTGAAAGAGGAAAATATTGACTTTTCGTAGTTTTCGATTCACCCGTCGATATATTCAATTAAAACTTTCTGCTTTTCTGATGGAAATTCATTAAACAATCTTACATAATAGATGGAATAAGACTTTAATGTTGTCTTCCATTCTGTGTCATATGATTAGAATTGAACTCGACGAATCGCATTGTTCAAGCTTGTTATTCAATTATCATCAAACTTTTAATGGACAATGAATGATTTAAGACACTTTGTCAATTCTAGCGTGTTTCACTGTGTTATCTTGCCAAAGGAAAGAAAAAAAAGATTCTGTCATTTCCTCTTTTATTCCCAAAATGCCGAATGAGAGTTTAAAGGCAGGTTTTTTCTTCGGTGATGTTTTGTAAACTGATATTTGTGATGAGACTTTTTCTTTTTTCTCAAGATTATAAACAAATATTTCTGTCTCATGAATAAAGTCTTGTGTGTTGACGATGGAAGGAGTTGAGAAGACGTGCAATTGGAAGTGGGTATGAAAGGCCCCCTTGAAGGCCACACTTAAGATGCGCGAACACGCCTTGCAATATGTTTTTCCTTCAACAAGAAGGGAAGAGTACAAAAAACCCACGAAAGCCAGCGTGTCGAGAAAGAGAGTGAGAGAGAGAAAGAGAGAAGAGGAAGGCAATTGAATGGGAAAGGGTATGAAATTATCTCGATCGATTCTGTGGCATTTGGATCGCATCCACAATAATAAATCTCACTTAACGGTGAGGTCGTTTCTTCGCGATGGACACCAATTGTCTCGTCACCATCGCCGCATGTCTTTTCCACTTCGACGGGTGCCTCGAAAACTATCATAAGTCAAAATTGCAATTTTTCAGCAGAATGAGTTCAAAATTTAACGTTAATAAAGCTGTGAAATTTGCCAAATTTCCTTTACGACCCTCAAAAAGTTTTCAAGTCGTTCGTTAAAGTGAAAATATTGTTCTGTATTTTTTATTTTGTGAATATTTCAGTTGATTTTATTGGTGTTTATTGAAATTTTTGATTAAAATATGGCAAAATTAATGGAAAATCTTAAAATATTACTTTCCAAAGTCGATTTTATCGACATTAATTCTAAAAAAATCATCTTTTCATACTTTTCGTTAAGGTTGTCAAGTGAAAATATTTAAAAGATATGAGAAATATTCATTGAAAGTCTAAAAAACATTTTAGGATGATTCTGAAAATCTGTAATTATTGTCTGAAAAGGCGTTTTATGCGTTTGATTGCAATTTTTGAGATATTTTTCTTGCTATTATCTTACAAGATATAAATCTCAAAATTTTCATTCAGGAAGAACAAATAAAAAGCTTTACCAAAAAATACATAAGACGAAAACTATGATAAATCGACGTTGAATACTTTTCGATTCTCCCGTCGAATTGATGCATTCGGTGGCCCACAAAAGTGTGGCTTTCTGAGAGAAGGAGGGGAGATTGAGGCACAAGTGATGGTGCAAAATTTCTTCTCCTCGCATCAATCTTGTCCGTTTGGGACAAGAAAACATTGAGAGTGGCTCAACAGTTTTGCACCGCACGCCATGCTGAGAAAGTTGCAATGCTTAATCTCACTTGGTTGCTGAACACCTGTGCAGAGCAATTCGCGCTCTCCTCTCGTGTCCATTCTTTCTTCTTGTGATCTTGGCACTGAAATTTGCCAGTGAATCGCGCTGCTTTTGTTCGAGCGTGTGCGTAAATTGTGTGTCTTGAAGTTGATTTGCAATTGAATGTGGATTTATTCATTGTGGGGTCTTTTTTTTATCTATGGGTGGAGCAGGAATAATTCTTTCTGCCCACACATAAATTCTTGTGCTTTCTTTACTTATATATCGGGGCTGTGTAGTTCCTCTTCCCGGTATTGTTTAGTATAATATTTTTGCTGGAATTCTCTCTTGTTTCGTCCCCAGAGAGTGAAAGAAAGAATAAAATAAAAAGGGGTTTGAATGTGTGAAATTCATGTGGATTTTCGTGCCAAAAAGAAGGTGTCTCTATTGATCAAACATAGTTGTGTGAGAGAGAAGGAAAAATATAGCTCTTTTATGGCTGGTAGATATTTGCCGTGGAAAATCGCATGAGAGTGGTTAAATACCATAAGCATGAGGTTAAACCACTCAGACTCGTAGTATCGAGTGACTGGCGATGAAATTGGGCAATAAAAGTTAAAACAAGGCGAATTCTTGCACTGATAGAGACACATTTACATAGAAAATTCATTGATATGTCAGTCACTGAGTTAGAGTGCAAATCTATCGATTTTTTTTTCTCTTTTTGGTGTCAATGATAAACATACTGAATATTCCAAAATCATTGACCTTTTTTCTCTTTCTCTCTCAGTCAAGAACGATAAATAAATACCCCACATTTTATGCAACAGCATAACACATATTTAAATGTGTTTTCACACAGAAAGAGTCTCTCGAATGCCTTCGGGATTTTTCACAGCGAATCATCATCAACAAGAGCAGCAATTGATATACTTTAAATGAAAGTGTGTGGCCGGTGAAGAAAAAAAACGCAAGCAATTGAGGTGAAATCCAGAAAGTGTTGCTTGATGTTCGGAAAAGAAGAATATTGAGGAATGGTGATTGTGAAGAAAGACGGAAGTGAAAATGCACCAACGACGATCAACAAGAGGTTGAAAAATACAAAATTGCGAAAGAAAAGGTGCGCATATTATGAAGAATTTCCATTGCAAATTGACTATGATCATGCTAAGGAAAATACACTAGACATTTTATTCATCTCTTATCCCATTGCAAAAATTAATGATTCCGCTATTTTAATGCTATTTTGCCAAGCAAACTCCTTCTTAATATAGACAATTTTGCATATATGATGCACATATGGCTCTGAGGGTGTGCATATTCTTCGCTGTGCACTATTGCAATCTTCCCAGAGAGGCGCGCACACAAGGCTTCTGATGATGGAGATTACGTTGGAGAACTCTTCTGCGCTATGATTATAGAACAGAGGCAGATAGAAGTGCGCAATATGATGAGAATTGTCAGTCAAATAGCGAAAGAAATGCGATTTCTCAGATCATATTTCAACGCTAAAAATATTTTAATTAAGGCATAAATAGACATCGTTGCAACTTTGCAGATTTCAATTCGTAAAAGTTACGAATTTGAGTTTCCACTTTACGCTTTTCATAGCTTACTTTGCGGGCCGCCTGGTGGCGCTAGTGTGAAGCACAAGTTTATTTAACTGTCAAACGCAAAGAATAAGTTCAACAGGATGAAATAGTAAATCAATTTGACAAGACATCTTCATTCGCGACTGTTTCTGACATTCGTTGTGCTTAAGACGTGATACGAAAGATGTCTTCGCTGTGACATTTCAATAAATTGAATGACAACATCGCTTTTTATGTACTTGTAAATGGTTTGGACAGCCAATCAGTTTCCTAGAAGAGCGTCGAAGGATGTCTAGAAATACATAACCTCAATCTGATGAGCCGAAAAATCTAATCAATTTGTTCAAATCAACATAAAAACATCAATATTGGGCTTCTTTATGCCGCAATCGTTTAATCCTGCAATTAAATTGATGCAGGAGTAATTTGACAGTTCACCATACAAAACTGTCAAATTAATCCAGCATCAATTTTAATGCAGGATTAAACAAGACGGCGTAAAAGAGGTTCATTGTCAATTTCCTTGATGTTCACGTGAATTTTCCGGCTTCTCTTTGCCGTTCTAGATAAAATTCTGTGGGTTTTACGAATTCATAGTTTTGACATCTTATCTTAAATGTTATGAAAATAATGTTGCAACGACTGCATAAGCTTAAACGATGAATGAAGCTCTAAAATGTGTTCTGCTGCACACATTTCGATTGGAATCAAGAGAGTAAAGCGAGAATGTTCAATATACTTGAGCCGCTTGAACCGCTTGAACCCCTTTTGAACTGTTTATCGTGCTGTTATACATAAAATGCCCATATCATGTTCTCAAATGGAGATTAATGCTCACATTAGCTGAAAAAATGGATTGTAATCCACTCGCATTACCGAAATTGCCCACCTTTTTTCCCATTCACTGATTTGCATATCACAACGAAGAGAGTTGAATGAGAGAAGATGCGGAGAGGATTGTATTAGCATGATTGCTATCAAGAGAAGAGAGAGGAGAAGTTGAATGAAGAAGAGTCGGAATGACGGCGTGACATTGATAGCATTTCATAAAGTACACTCCAGATGAGTTGTGGTGAATGTTGGATATTTCATTGCCCACATTCCTTCTCTTGTAGATTCAAAGTGCGCTACGTGATGCCGTCTGCAAGACTGTCGCTGCGCGAGGAGGACGTGGTGCGTCTGATGCTGGAGTTCCTCAGCAATCGGGAGTTGAATATTACGCAGTTGTCGCTGGAGCGAGAGACGGGCGTTATCAATGGCCTCTACTCCGACGATGTGCTCTTCCTGCGTCAGCTCATCCTCGACGGCCAGTGGGACGATGTGCTGGAGTTCATTCAGCCCCTCGAGGCGCTTCAGGCGTTCGACATGAAGCACTTTCAGTACACAATATTGCGCTACAAGTACATCGAACTGCTGTGCATCAAGTCCGAGGCGGGCGGCGGTGCTGCGATCATGGGATCGATGGATGGGGCCGTGGAGGAGGTGGTGCAGGTGCTGGCGCAGCTGGAGAAGCTGGCGCCGTCCAAGGATGAGTACTCTGGACTGTGCATGCTGCTGCAATTGCCACGCTTAGGCGATCACATGCTGTATCGCGACTGGAATCCCAGCAAGGCGCGAATTCAGTGCTTCCGCGAGGTGTTTCCGCTCGTGGACAGATTCCTGCCCAGTGACAAGAAGGGTGTTCAGAATCTTGCCGCCAAGAATGATCGACTCGTGCAGCTGGTGATCAAGGGTGTGCTGTATGAGTCGTGCGTGAACTACTGCCAGGCGAAGGCCACGGGGGCGACGGATGGGAGTGGTGGACAGGAGATGACCTTCTCCAAGCTGCTGGATGGCTCGGTGGGCTTCAATGACAGCGATTTGTCACTCCTCAGCTGGCTGCAGAGCATCCCAATGGAGACATTCTCGGTGCCGTTTGAGCAGCGCACGCTGAATGTGGATGTGGAGCGACTGGAGCGTCCGTCGCTGGAGACATCATGGACTGAACATATGCTGATCACACCCATTAAGCCCAAGACCTTCCCGCACAGCGTCATGCCGTTCACGAGGCCGCGCAGTGCGGCGGATATCATGACGAGGAGCCTCTTGCCGACGCTGGACGGGAGCGGCGGGGCTTTTGGTGGTGCAAATGGCAATCCAGATGCTGGCCAGATGTCACGCTCGAGCTTCGCCAGCTTTCACTTGACGGGCATCAAGCCCAGCTCGGGGAAACTCATGACGAGCAGCGTGGATAGACTGTTTGAGAATGACGGAGAGGTTTTCCTCAGCAGCAACTACAATGATTTCCAGGTGAGATTCTTCCAATTCGTTGTGCAATTGTTTGTTGACCATCTCTGTCTTTTGCAGGGCCTGCCGTCGATTCAGGAGGCTCCGTCGGCGCAGTCAAAGTCACCGGAGCTGGGAAAGGCGATTGACGAGAGCACTGCTGGACGAGACAGTCCCAACACAGCTACATCGACGGCCAAGAGTTCCCGAAGGGATTCCCTGAGTGAAAAAGTCGTGCATCACGATCTTCACGCGCTGCCCAATCAGCCACATCCGACTGCATCAGCCGCTGCTCATCCGCCTCGCGGGGCGACGCCGCCGCAAGTCACGGAGGTCATCAAGAAAACGTAAAGGCAGTGTTTGTCTTCCTGGGCAGATGAAGACGCTAAGAGATCTCTGATCTTTGCAGGTTACCAGAGAATGCTGCAGCTCAGGGTGGTGGTGAGTTGTTTGAGAAGTTCCAGAGGCAAAAGATGAGCAAAGAACAGAGTGGTGTCAACAATAATGGAGACAGGTAAACGAAGAAAAACAGCTAATCTTTGACATGGCGTTAGATAACGTTTTGAGTGGAAATCAATTTGTCGTCCGGACGTGCGGCTTGGGTGCGTTTTCAGTCATTGTTTCACAGTTGGTGTTGCGTTGTCGCTTGAGGGATAGAAAAGACCTCCAATTGGCACACATTTTTCGGACAATAAAATTGCCAAATCGCCGCCGTGTTCTTAGTCGCATCGCGTGGACATTGACATGAATACTGTGTGACTTTATTGTCTCTCTCTCTGTGTGTGGCTATCAAAGTGAAATTGCGCCAGTGATTCTGGTTGAAATGTGAGACACATTTGATGGAAAATGCGACTATTTATAGACATATGATAGTTTTTTTTTTATGGGCACGGCTCTATTTGCTCTTCAGCCAATCATATCTTCCACGCTTCCTCCAAATGTTCAACACTATCGTCGGAATTATTCAGAAATTCTTCACGCTCTCAAGCTTATGAAGTGTTGAATTATGTGATACTTTTCAGAATATGTTCATATCCATTGAATATACTATAAATTTCTTCAGGGCACTCACACTTTCTGCCATGAATTTTTTGACCCTGAGCTTGATTTATTGATAAAATTAGTTTAATGATAATCGAATTATGTTGTACAAGAAGATTGTCTGCAAATTAGCTTCATCGATGAACCTATAAATTGCTCAATGAATAAATTTTCCAAGGGGAAAATCATTCGCAAGTTGAAATCATTAATTTTGTGATTATTACTCAAATTTGGATTATTTCATACAAATTCTGATTACTTTTTGATTATTTTCTGAATATTTGATTAAAAATTGTTTATTTCACACAAAATTTTGATTACTTATTGAATATTTTCTGAATATTTGATTAAAAAATTGTTTATTTCATACAAAATTTTGATTATTTTTGGATTAATTGTGATTTTTTGTTCAAATTTTGATTATTTTCTGAATATTTAATCAAAATTTGAATATAATTGAATAATTGTGAATATTTGGAATATTTTGATTTATTGAATAATAATTTTTTTTATTTAATTCAGAAATTGATTATTTTCATTTTTTTGTAATTTTTCTTAGGAAAAAAATCCTTTTTTATTATCTTATTAAAAATTAGAAAATTTTTCAATTTTTCTTGGGAAAAATAATCATTTATTGATTATTTCATTCAGAATTATAATATTTTGTAATTCTACTTGAAAATATAATTTTTTTGTATTCAGAAATTGATTATTTTGCCATTTATTTTGAAAATAATCATTTTTTTGATTATTTAATACAAATTTTGTTTATTTTTCAATTCTTCTTGGGGAAAATAATGATTTTTTGATTATTTTACTCAAATAATTGATTCTTTAATTAGAGAAAATTGAGTTTCCTCAAAAATCGCCTTCTGATTTGCCCCTTGAAGTTTTATTATGCACATTTTGTGGGCAGCGGCAAAGTAGTTTTTCACTTTCCGTAAACACTTGCATTTTTCAATGAATATCTTTCACTCTTCTGTAATAAATACAAAGAATCACAACTCTTTGATAGCCAACATATGATGGATGAATAACAACTCTTCGCATATTTTATTGCTTCATATCACATAAATTGTGACGCATTTGAGTGTTTTATCCGCACGAGTGTGTCTGTGTGTGTTTGTCTGTGTGGATTTTCTGGAAAAATTGTGCGGTGTATTTAAATTAATTGAGCCCCATGTACGTAATAATAGTGTTGCTGCCGCATTAAAATGCTCTGTTGCACTGATCAGCGAGCTCGTGAAACAAAGAAGGTTCCCCCGGAGAGCCATAAGGCACATTAAAAAAAGTACAAGCATTTGCCACGAGGGAATATCGCGCGTCAGTTACTCAATAGCTTCCGATCCGTGAAGAGTTTTGACTGATGGTCACTCTGGCAGTGGTGTTCTCGTGATTCACGTCTAATCTGTTGTGGTTTGGAGAAGGAAGAGAAATGTACTACAATAAGAGATTGCATCCGCGACAGGCGAAGCGTGTGGAAGTTGCGTTCATTTCTGATGATCAGTGTGAAGTGCATTCGAGAGGATCTCGACTGTCTCTAGATCGAATCTCACGGAAATCCTCAACGTCAATGCGTGACATTTCGTCACACAAAGTCATCACGGTGTTTGATGAGGATCCGGGGAGAGATCACACATTTGATGCTCTATTTTGTGGCACAGATCGATTGAATTCCACTCACGCGAAGAATATATTGTAAATATGTTTTGTGATGAAGTGTTTTAATATCAGGTTCTTATGCCATTTTCATTCCCAAATTCAGCACAAAATCCACAAGCAGTCAGCAAAATGGTCAGGAAGGCAGTGCAATGAAGCTCCAAAGTCAGCCTGAGAGTCATCAGAATGGGAATGGCGTTGTGCCGAGTCAGGAGGAAGATGTGAGTTGAAATACTTTTACTTTTTCTTTCTTGCTCTTGAATTTCTTGAGACAGAGCGAAAAAAAACAATCAAATTGTGAGAGAGAAATTCAATTTTATGCTTAATGACTTGTATGAATTGGGGAAAAATTGCCGCGTAACAGTGATTGCAGGGAGAAAAAGTGTCTCTGCGGATGTCAAAAAGTGCCTTTGGCGCAATTTCCGGAATTGTTTTTAATGATTCCCATTTGTCTATGCTTGCAGAAGAAATTATTTAAATAGCAAAACAGTAAAGAGGTGAGTGAGTTGTGTCACACCGAATAGTGTGGAGACAAAGTTTAGTTGATCACACGAATGGAAGTTGAGTGATTTTCACTGGGGAATTTGTATCAAATTTCAAAACCACAAATGATAGGGAAATATTGATTGGCTTGATTGATTACAAGAAACCCTGATCGTTGAGTCAGTGATTAAAAATAAAAATTCCTCATCTATGCATGTCAATCGAGGTTTGCTCAAGTTGGAGAAAAGTGGTTCAAATTCCTGTGATTTCCTTTTGTATTCCATTCAATCCATCCCTGAAATATTCTTTGAAATAACTTCAAAATATTCTCTCCATTCCTAATTTGATCTCTATTTCTTTGAAATCGTCTAAACAGAAAGAGATTTTAGCACAATTAGAGCGTCAGTTTTTAGAACAGTGAAGTCGCGGGTTCAATTCTCTCGCGATTCGCCTTTTTCACGACTCTTTTCAAGTATTTTCCTTCACTTTATCGCTTTATGTTAGCATTTTTCGCTCAATCTTCGCCTAAAACTCTTTTTAACGCTAAATATAATTTCAGAAATTGCTTTTTTCATCATTTAGCATTCTTTTTAACGCTTTAATATCCATCCTCGGGCTTTAAATTTCTCCTGAGAACCTTTTTTAAAGCCTAAAATGTAATTTTCTACCTTATTTTCTACAATATTCGTTTTAAAAGCAGCTAATATTGCATTTTCACGTTTTTTTTCTTCATAAAAGCATGTTCTTATAAGCAATGAAAATGCTTTAATTTTGGTTTCTTTGGGAAATCCGCGCTGGAAGTTTTTCTATTCATTTTTTTTGTTCAAATGTCTTTCAATATTTCAATATTTGAACACTTAGTGAATTCTTAATCACACATTCTGTGTATTCAATGGGATTTTGACTTGATATTCGAGATTATTCCGACTGAATGATTTGTCTATTCCTCACTTGAGCAATCCTCGATGTCAACAATCTTTCTAGGCTTATTGAGAAATAGAATTGAATCACAAGACGCTGAAATTGAGAAGAATTGCTGGAAGATTGTTTTCCGACAGCTTTTCATCAACAACTGAGCGACATTCTTGAAGGAAATTCTTGATAAACAAAGTCAAGACGCCTTCAAAACAAGTCATTTGTCACTGCATGCATTGATTTCTTACATAGCGTGTGTCTTTCAGCTAAATATAGTGAATCACATGTGGTATGAAGAGTCTTCGAATTCTTTTTAACTTCATATTCAGCACAAAAGTTCTCCTCACTCTGAAGTGCATTCACACAGCAACATAGTGGAAACCTGCTTGGGATTTTAATGAGAGATTAGAGATAAAATTAATTGAATGGCCTGGACAGTGAAGGTTTAATTATCACACGATGCATTTTGCCACATTATTCACAATAAATGAAATGTGACAGAATTTGCATTCCAACTTGGGCTTCGACTGTATGAGAATTGAGATGTTTTTCTTTGGCGGCATCTTTCTATTTTAATGCAATATGCCAATAACGAGAGCTAAATCTCCATTGAGTGATCACTGTAATTGATCAGTTGTGTGTGTGTGCGGAATTTAATTATGATGAGAGTGTTTGGAAATTGAGGGCAAAATCGTGGCGCCAGATTTCAGTTGAAATTGAAAAATGTGAAATTCTCCAAAATGCAGGCAAAATTGCCGAAAAGTCTTTGTCATCCGAAATGATTTCTCTCCTCGCGTCTTCATGTTCGTCAATTAGTACAATTTGTGGCTTGAGGGGGAGGAAAAGCCATGGTAAATTGTCATTTGATTTGGTGATTATAGATTTGCGTACACCTTCAATTCTCCACCCACAAATTTCTCACCGTTTGACTTGGCGTTTTTCCATTAGGCGATTCGCACAAGCCACGCTATTTGCCTGATGTCATGTTCAGTGAGATTACAGCGATATATAAATTATTTATTAATTGCGCTCTTAAGAGAGAGAGAGAGAGATTACAAAGTGCCTGCAAAAAGACCTCCATTTAATGCGCTTATGAAGATGATCACATTACGGGCGTGACATTGAATTTTGAGAGTGTTTGGCAAGATGAAGAAAAATGTTGTGTGACAAATGAGATGAAGATGAAGCAGAACTAAGTTAATTAGCATTGATAAATACAACTCACAAGTGGTCTTTGTGGACAAGAAACTGTTTTTGGACTTGGAAGACAGTGGAATTTGTCCAGTTCATTCATTCGATTTCACTTATTGCCATATTTTTTGGTGTCTTTGGTGTCTTTGGTGTGTCGCTCCATAAGAAATGGGTCGAGAAATTAATGGTGAGACTTGTTTACCACCTTTTTCTCTCTCCCGCCGCCACGCACGCACGCAGAAATTGGCGCATATGATATTGAGTGCAAAACAAACGGCAGATCTTGCCAGCAAATCACCATGGGAAGTCCAATGTTAATGCGAAGACATAACACACAATTGGAGCTCTTTTCCTTCGCTCACTTCTTGTATCTCGCGCCGATCATTAAGCGTGTGTGCAATAGATATCAATGACAAACATTAATGTCTCATATCTGCATCTGAAACGTGTGTTCTCTTATCTCAACACCACGCAAATTGTGTCATATGCAGTCATATGGCGGGTTTTCCATTTCAATTTTTATGCTGTGAGAAGCATTTTATTATTATGCACTCTTGGGCGTCTCTCAGATGGCAAGAGGAATAATTGTTGAATACAAATGATTGTGATGGACTTCAATAACAGTGTTTTTAATGTCTCTCTAGAGAGATATGAAATTGGATTTGAAGCGTCGTTGCAACTTTACTTTCATTACATTTTAAATAAGCAGTCAAAAATATGAATGAATTAAAAGGTGTTGCAAGATTTACGATTCATATTAAACATACAAAAAGCAATTTAACCAGCCCAAATCAAGGCGTCTTATAATATAAATGACTTCCAGACATTCCCAACGTATGATTTAATGTAGATTTCACGGATTTAGAGCAAAATTTCTCTGCATTTTGCAATATCTCCGCCCAGAATTGAGATATCGCCATGATCTCAACGTCATTTGAAAGACCATTAAATTCTTATTATTTTTTATCTTAAGGTGATTGTCTCGAAAATTGAAATAAATATCGAATTTTTAGCATCAAAAGGAAAATTGGCCTAAATTCCATAGGTGTCTTAACATAATTTTCGCTACTGTATATTAAACGTTTCAAATGTTGACGTGTGAAATAAATTCGTATATTTCGTCGCGCGAAGATGAGAAAAGCCGCGAAATTCACGTGAAAACCAAGGAAATGGACAGAAATGATGTCCTTTATTGGGTTTCTTTGGGCATTTGTGCACATTTTAATGCACCAGATTGAGGTTATGTATTTCCGAACGTTCCGGACGGAATTTTTGACAAGTGAAATTCATAGTAAATAAACTCCCAACGTCTTCTTGTTCGTCTTTAAATCATTCTTTGCACTAGAGCGCCGCTAGGCGGCCGCAAATATAAACACAGAGGCCCCGGGATCAAGTCTCGTCGAATGCACTGGATCTCGGCAAGGGAACAAATAAGCCTATCAATGGCTAACAGCCAAAAGTTGCTGTTGATTTCCAACTGAAGAATGTAGTTCAGTGGAAATGTTCCCTTGGCAATATTAGTAAATAAAGGCATTCAAGTGCTGAGTTGTGTTATGTCATACGGTCGATAACACTCACGGACAACACAGATATACACATGAGCAAGACCAAGAAGGTTAAATTTTAATGGATAAAGGAAAAGAAAACATGAATTCAAAGAGAAGTCAAGAGAGGAGAATAGAATAATGATAACAATAGAAGGAATAACAGGAAAAAATGATGAAAAGAGAGAATTCTATTCGTTCTACTAATCGGATAAGATTGTGGATAGTGCCTGAAGAGCGATTGCATCAGGTAACTGGAAATCTACAAGCTGAATATCCGAGGAATAATAGAACAGGAAAAAGGAAAAGATAAAAAGAAGAAAATCCGGGGAGATTGGCAGATAGATACAAAAGGAGTTCAAAGAGTCTTAAGTGTCTGAACAAGTCCACCAAGCACTAATATCTATTCTATTCTAAAGTCGCAACATCAAATTGATAGCTTTTACGAACTGAAATCCGTTATGTTGCAACGACGGTTAAATTTTGCCAGTTAATCTCTAATTGAGATCTTTTGAGTTGCAAAATCGTTAAACTTTGCCACAATTCTTCAGGGTTAATAGTTGATTTCCTGAGAAGAATCAACACAAAACTCCTTCAGGTTCTCTTAAGATGAATTTATCTTATTGATAACATGTTTAATTGTGCTTGATTGATTAAAATTCTTGGAGAATTTCTTTGGTTCGTTCGACAAAAAGGATCTTTGCAAGTGATTCTAAGCTATTTATAGTGTCTCTTCTTCTATTGCTTCTTTCATTACTGACACAGAATTGCCTTAACGCACGAAAAAAAGAGTGTTGACTTGAATGGTGTGTCGATGATGATGATCTTTCCGGGAGAGGTGGGAAAAAAATGTGCAAATATAGGAGTTTCTTTGCTGTGGCGATTGTGGGCGAAATGGAAAATAATAATTGTGTGTGATTCTGATTTTTTATGTGACCCAGCATTCCCATTTAGGGTATTCTCCGCATTTTATTTGCCAGAGTTGCGCTGATGATGAAAAAAAGACAGACAAACAGTTGATGTTCGCCCACGCGGCAAGAAATACAACAAAACTTCAATGCCTATGGTTTTTCCTCAAAACTATCATG